GGGGCCCTTTTGGCCCCCCCCCCCCCCCCCCATGATCCTATATATAGGAACCAAAGCAAAAGGTGAAAATTACAGTTACCAAGTAGTATTAGGCACAAATAGTGCCTAAGGTCCTCCTCCTGTCCCTCTTCCAAGATAAGTCACTATTTTTGCTATTCTCCATTCCTCTGGGATCCTATATGTCCACTGTTAGTTTTCAAAAATAGCTGTTAACAGTTCAGATAATGTTTTGGCTAGTTCTTTAAGTACTCTGGTGTGTATTTTATCAGTCCTTGCCAACATGAATACAATTTATCAACATGTTCTTGATATCTCTGTTGTAATCTGTGTTACTACTGCCTTGTTTTAATTAATTGCCTTATGTATCTGGTCACAACCAACCTTCTTTTAGTGAAGATTGAAGCAAAAATGATGAGACCTGGTTCTGTGGATGCAGGGAAAGCAGTGGATGTACCATTTCTTGACTTTAGCAAGACTTTTGATACCATCTCCCACAGCATTCTTGCAAGTAACTGAGGAAGTACGGGTTGGATGAATGGACTGTATGGTGGATAGAAAGCTGTCTGGATTGTTGGACTCAACAGGTAGTAATCAATGGCTCATTGTCTAATTGGCAGCTGGTACCAAGTGGAGCACTCCAGGGGTTGGTCCTGGGGCCGATGTTAATGAAGATATTGAATAAAAATCTGGAAAATGGGATGGATTGCACCCCCAACAAATTCAAAGATGACACCAAGCTGGGAGGTATTGTAGATGCACTGAAAACTAAAGCTAGGATTCAGAGTGAACTAGACAAATTGGAGGATTGGGCCAAAAGAAATCTTATGAGGTTCAATAAGGACACATGCAAAGTCCTGTACTTAGTGCATGGGATTGTTCCATCCTGGTAGAAGCTGGGGGCTGACTGGCTAAGCAGCAGCTCTGCAGAAAAGGACCTGGGGATTACAGTGGATAATTAAATGGATATGATTCAGTGGTGTGCTCTTGTTGCCAAGAAGGCTAACAGCTTACTGGGCTGCATTAGTAGGAGCATTGCCAGTAAATCAATGGAAGTAATTATTCTGCTGTATTCTGCATGGTGAAGCCACATCTGGAATACTGTGTCCAGTTTTGGACACCCCCCACCCCCAAATACAGAAAGGGTTTGGACAAGTTGGAGAGAGCCCAGCAGCAGAGGGCAACAAAAATGGTTAGGGGGCTGGGGCACATGACTTATGAGGAGAGGCTGAGGGAATTGGGTTTATTAAGAGAAGACTGAGAGGGGATTTGATAGCAACCTTTAACTACCTGAAGGGTGGTTCAAAAGGGGGTGGAGCTAGACTGTTCTCAGTGGTGACAGATGACAGAACAAAGAGCAATGGTTTCCAGTTGTAGCAAAGGAGGCTTAGGTTGGATATTAGGAAAAACTTTCTCACTAGGAGGGTGGTGAAGCACTGGAACAGATTACCTAGAGAGGTGGTGGAATTTCCATCCTTGGAGGCTTTTAAGACCTGGCTCAACGAAGCCCTGGCTGGAATGGTGTTTTGTTATTTTGCTGTAAATTTTGTCTCACTAATTGTAAATAGAAGTTCTGATAGTATGGAAACTCTAACTCCTATGTACTCTTTTGTTTCCCAAAGGACATCTCTAATGCCCCTGCTTTGTTATTGGAGACAATGGGCACATCTGCACAAGATGCTGACTGCACTGTAGCTGAATAATACTGCGCACTAGTGTCACAGTATGGACAGTGCTAATATGCTACTCTGCAGTATCATCAGGCTATTGCCCAGTAGCGTCACTCACCAACACTACTGTGAAGTAACTCTGGTTACTTATTTAGTACTTGTATAAGCAAATGCACGGCAACTACTGCACAGTAGCATCTGATGTAGACATGCCCAATGACAACCAACACAGACATAACTCAAGAAGGTTCAAACAGACTATGGCAGCCTGCTCTGAGATCGCTCAGAGCATGCCAGATAGATCTGGTTGCATAGCTCCTTTGACTCTGGGGCCACATCCAGATGAGCGTACACGTGCTTCTTGCCCCACCTCAAACCCCTTTGAAGTGGGGTGAGAGGCATGTGCAGGAATGAAAAAATGGATATCCAGGGGTTTTAAACAAAATCAAAGTTTAAAAAAGCAGAGCAGGGCATGGTCCCAGACTCCCTTAGACAACCGGAGGCTGGCTTCTCCACAGATGCTCTGGCTGTCAGTGTCTCTGTGGTTGGTCCATAGCCCTGGTGCTGAAACATGTGGCCGGCCAGGCTGCGTGTTCAGCACCAGGGCTCCAGTGCCGGTGAGTAAGGGGTTGGGGGAGCTGGAGGAGGGGAAAAAGGGACCGTGGGGGAGACCCTACCGGCCCCACCCATTTTCCCAGCCCCCCCAATCCCTGCCCCCCATCCAATAGTTTTAAAAATACCCCCCAAAAAAACCCGGCACTTACCGGCAACTTGAACTGCCATCTGGCGGACTGGGGCCCCTCCCACACAGCCCGGGGTAGAGGGACAGCCCCAGAAGCCCCAGCCTGGGCCGTCCTGCCCCCCCCACTGTCCTGTGCTGTCTGGGGGGTGGGCTCTGGAGCCCCCCCCCACTGCTTCTAAGGTAAGCAGAGGTTTTTTTCCTGGTTTTTTTAAGTGATGGTGCCTTAGGGGGTAGCCATAGGGGCCTGGGGGTGCAAACTGGAGGGTGAGGCTGGGTGGGGCAGCCATCGTAGGGCTGGGGTGGGGCATGTAGGCCTTGCAGGGGGGGGTGGTAGCCCCTGCGGGGGCCATTTGGCCCCTGTTGGGGGGCTGTACCCCTTGTGTGAGGGCATAGCCCTGTTGGGGGGCCTGAACCCCCTGTTGGGGGGCCATTGCTCCTTTGGGAGGGCAGCAAAATATATGTTCATGAAACATGTATATAGAGTTCACTATATTATTATAAGAGACTTACTCTAACACTGTAGATATATCAATAAAACATAGTCCAACTGGTCTCTGTCTCTCTATAGTGGTCTTTTCTTTTACTTGTGGAGGAACATGGATTTAGGGGTACTTTAGAGTGACTTTGGGATTTTTTTAATCAGGGATTTTTCAGTTTTCCAATAGGGAATACCAAAACTCCTTCTGGGGAGGCCAGTGGCAGGACCTTGCCTGCTCAGAGCTGGCACCTTGGACCCAGCTGACTGTGGCTGACCTCCTGGCCAAATGGGGCTAGGACATGCTTTGACAGTTCAAAGCAGGCCACCACACCCAAAACATCTGGGCGATAGCTGCCCAGATGGCCGGGCAGGAGGAACACATGGCAGTAGTGCTGCACAGAGGCCAACCCTGCAACCGCAGCCCACTGGCAGCTGGCCCAGAAGGGAAGATGCCTCTACTGGCTGTGCAGTCCCCATCTGGGTCTGGCAGGTGCACAGCAGGTCACAGCCAGGCAGCAGCCCCCACTACCAGACTGCTGCAGTGGGCAGAGGGTGCAGGGAACTCTCAGAGCTGCTTCAGCAGTCCAGCTGGCACAAGGGGTAGTTTCTCCAGGTACCAGTTGGCTGGGCCCCAGAAGCTCCTGAGAGCTAATAGCCCTGAGCTACTTGCCAAGGCAGCTTTTTATACTGCTGGGGCCAAGACAGGGCAGCTTCTTATACTGCTGGGGACAGCACAGGTGCTGGCCCTGGGCTCTAGCTCCTGCTGGCTGCAGATCCAGGAGCAGCCAGGAAGGGTTATCTTGCCCCAGGTGGCACAATTTGCTCCACAACAGAGTGCATGTCCTAGCATGTGCGCTGATGCAAAAAGCCCCAGCTCAAATTTGTACCACTTCTATTTGAGCTGCCGCAAGTGCACGTGCTTGCATGTGTGGACGTGCCCTGGAAGGCACAATCCATTACAAAAGCTCTTGATTAGGATGGATAACTTATAATGGAAAACCATTTCTCCAAAAGTTGCTAAGTACTAAGCAGTGTGAAATAATTCTGGAGCTGACTTTGTCAATGCATGTGGAAGTAAGTTTCTTAATCATTTTATATATATAAAAGAAACAAATTATATTTAAGCTTATTTAGCAACAGGGCTGGTACATGTGGTCATGGTAGCAGTGATGATTTTGGAGGCTGCTGCACAAGCTGTTTTTAAAATTTCAGTCAGTTGTAAAGTAGGCAAGAGATCTAAGACAGTAGTATATACAAAGAGTGCTTTCAGTTGTTTCAGTACACCTGTGGGACCAGCAAGGGAATGACACAGACAGACACAGCCGCCTTATTCTGTCCCTTATGTGTATATTTTTCAAGTTGATCCTGCATGAACCTTAAACTGACTCTAGAATATTATGGCTATGGTTCATCAGTCAGTTTCCTGCACTGACAAGGAGCTTATCAGTCATAACCAAAGGAAGCAAAGTCCGAGTTATTTAAGACAAGAAGCAGCCAATGTGTTTTTAAAATGAGAATGACATCTTCAAGTGGAGGAAACATACATTCATGACAGAACCGTGGACCTGTTGTTTCTCTTCAAAAGAGTGCATCAGTCTGCACTTATTTTTAATTAACACTGCCATCAGCCCACCCCCAGAAACTCGCCTTCTTTTGAGCTTAATTTCACTTATAACTGCACTCCACCAACTGTGCACTCTCTCACTTATCTTTCACCTCCTTCTTTTCTCTGCAGCAACAAAGTCTGCCCTACATAAATTAAGCACTAATGCGAACTGAACCCCTGCATATTTATTTCCAGACAGAATCTCCTTCTAAAGCTATATTATACTTTTTCTGTTCCTATTCACTTCTTCCCCTTTTCCCATTATTTTTTCAGCCAGCTTCTAATCTTCTACCTCATTTACACTCATCATATTCCCCTAGATTGTTCTTCAGTCAAACAGTTGTTTCTAGGTCATTTGGCATAGCCAATAGGCCACTATTAACTTAGTTCAAGTGCAACTCTAGTTGAGATTTCCTTGAAAACAGTTTTGTGGAAATAGGTTTCTCAGGTCAAAGAGACCCACCCAGAATGGCTAACAGTCTAGTTGTTAGAGAATGCATTTCAGTGGGTCAGGGTCAGACTTGTGCACTGCAGGAACTAGGATATACTGATGAGTGTGTGCAGTGTAACTGTGTATGCACATTCTCCATCTCTCCTGTTGGAACTGTTTTGCTTGGGCCAGAGGGAAACACTGACTTAACTGTCCCTTGCAAGAACATTCATCCAGGCTGTGGAGAATGCAGGAACTCAGACATGGATCTCCATAGGCAGATCACGAATTGTAAAAACGAGGGGTGTAGAAAGAATGACTGGTGTTACAGGTGTGGCTGCACTCCTCTGATCCCAGACCCCTCCTCCTCCGCTCTCCTGGGACAGGCAGACCATACTATGGGAGCAACAGCACAGGACCTTTTTCTAAGTCCCCAAATCAGGTAGAACTCCCTACCCCCACTCTTGACACCCCCTCCCTTCCCCTTAGTGTTCAGTGGCACCTCTCTTCCCCTTCTTTACCTCCCCCTCTATGCTTTTGGACCCACCCATGGCCACCACTCTCCCAGGCACTTTTTTTCCACTCCAGCCAGGGCTGGAGAAGCAGCTGCTCAGGAGCTGGGCTGGGTCAAGAACAATGATGGTGGTGGGCATATTCCTCCTCCCCATGCCTGCTCCCAGGCTGGCAAGAAATACTGGGGGGACTGGGTAGGAAGGAGCCCATCTGCCACTGCTGCTATTGCTGTGCCCAACTGGAACAAAGCAGGAGCAGCTCTGGAGCTGTCATGTCAGGCCATGGGTAATGAGATGTGGTGCTACTTGAGGATTAAGGAAACAACCTGGATCAAGCAGGATCTAGGGACAAGCTGAGTCAGGAAGCCAGGAGGTCAGTGTAAGAGTAGGGTGTAGGAACAAGCCAAGGAATCCAGGTGGTTAAGCAGGAGACAGCACTAGGCAGAGGGAGCAACAAAGCAGCCTAGGGTTGAGTCCTGTTGCCCGGAGACTTCCTATTCCAGGTGAGGTGTTTATATGAGAGAAGCAGAGGGTTAGCTGACCCCAGCCAGCTACTCTTGTGACAAGTCAGTTGGGAGCAGTGGCAGCAATAGGCAGAGGAGGAAGCTGTGGAGCAAGAGTGGAGAGCAGAAAGGTGGGAATGAGGGTCACGAGTGTCAGGCTGGCATCTAGGTTGGAGGGCTGAGGATATGGGGACCAAGTTCCAGGAGAGCTGACGGGAAACATCCAACAAGTGAACCAAGGTCCATAAAAAAACTGTCAGCGCCAGTGCTGAGTTCCAGGTGTGGAAGAAATCAAACTTCGCGTTGTGGTTGAATCAGAACTGACAGAGCCAGCTTTTCTTTATTTAGGGCTATACTGTGATCACAGGGAGAATTCCATATAGCAAGGGGAATCACCCACTTGTCTGTTTTAAAGGATTTCTCAGACTCTCTAAGGTTACAAGCGTATTTATACTTAAGACAGAGAAAGACGTAAAAAAAAATACTTTGGAGAAACAAAACAATAGTAAATTACACAGAAACTTAGAAAGTTTTACTTAAACAAACTATCTATGCATAGGGCAATATATCAAGATAACTCAAGGCATGCAGGAATGCGGATTCGTTATCTCAGAGCAGTATCAGTACATCTGGTCTTTGTCTGTTTTTCTAGTCAAGTAAGCTAATTACTTCTACACAGGGGAGATCCAAAGTCGGATCAGGAACCAGGCTGATCAGAAGGAACAATGAGCCAGAGCATCCTGAGGCTGCAGGCTTAAAAGAGGTGAGTGGTGGTTCCAACAGCCAATCTGGTTGCAGAGAACTGGGACAGTTGCATTAGCCAGGGATCAGGAGTAGGCAGAGCTGACCCAGGCAGGGTGTGGGGCCGGGGGCAAATCAGGCCATGCAGGGCCCCGCCCCCACCCAGATCCCACAGGCCCTGGGCCTGAAGAAGCTGCCACCACCATCAGCAGTGGAGGTGGAGGAGGGGGTCAAGTGACTGGATGCAAAGCCGCTGCTCCGCCCAGCTCCGCACCACCGCTGCTCCACAGGGCCCTCCAAAGCCTGGGGCCTGGGGTGGTTGCCCCGATTTGCCCCCCTCCCCCCCCGGGGACAGCCCTGGGGGTAGGTGTGATAATTAAAGTGCTTGGCCCAGCCAGGTATGCTTGATCAGGGGCCCTGACACACACAGTATGATCTAAAAGGGAGGCATGACTAAACTACCTTTACCCCCTGTGGATCTCCCATATCTTGAATGAATGCCTAAAGCAACAGTCTATGGAGATGCATTCCTTCTTTCCCACCCAATGTATATTGCGTTATTTAAGGGGTCATGGCTCTCATCTGTTATGTGAGGAAACCTACGTTTAAGTCCTTGCTTTGGAACAAGGGCTTGAACTAGTGTTTCCAACATCCTATGCAACTGCCCTAGCCACTGTGCTGTTCTGAGATGTGCATCTCTCTTTTTATTTTCTTAGTTTCATCCTAATTTGAAACAAAGACTTTTGAGATTTTCCTCACATATTATCCCATCCTCTGTCTTCTGTGGTTTTTAGTGGGAACGATGAATATCTTGCCCCCTTCATTGCTAAATGGGAGAGGTTTCTATCTAGATGCTGGTTTAATAGGATAGGGATTGTGGCAGCACTATTCCACTACAAAGAATGGCCCACATAGCTTTGGATGTCTCTCACCCAGCCCTGCCCCATATAAGAAGGTTAGAGTGGCCAGTGGTGCTAGATTCAGCCATTCCTGCTCTCCCTAACTGGACTATCTAGGCTCTCCGGGGGAGAGAGGCTCCTCACAGCCTTGCTGCACAATTTTCTGCAAGCATACAGCACCCACTAGAGAAAATTCTAAGCACCTGGCTCTACTCAGAACTCGTATCTCTAAAAGAGCATTTTTGATAGCTGGAAGGAATCCATTAGCAATAAAGTCAGACTTCCCAGACACTGAACATAAATCATTGTTTTTGTTGAGTTTTTTCAGGAAGGAAATAAATCTTTATTTGTTAATTTTTCCCTACATACTTAAATATGTTTTTTCCTCCTAGTGCACTAGAATCTGGTTTCCCTCTGGCTGTATTCCCATTACAAAGTTTACAATTATTAATTTGATAGAA